GCTTGTAACAGCACCACCGTGTTGCGATGTTTTTGACCTTGAGAAGAAAACAAAATATGAATTAATAATGAAGTTCTAAACTTTAATCTTGATTTGCACTTATAAATTGATAAGAAAAACTTAAAAGATATAATAGGAAGAGCGTCTCTTAATTATTTAATTTTAATGGTTATTTAAGCCTGGAGGAACGAATGCCGCCATACACGCAGCATAACGTAACCAGAAGTATTTTGGGCTTTTCTTTCTATAATTTTCAATTTGCGCACAATGAAGTTAGAAAACTAATTTGACGATATTAGACGAATTCCATTATATTCAAATAGTGCAGTAAACAAACGTTTTACATTTTATGCATTTCGGTAAAATTGGGTTTTATAGTGCTCAACATAAGCTTTAAAATGAGTGCTGTTACAAGTTTTTCGCGCGTAAAATGAGTGATGCTATCATGCAAGTAAGAAGCATATACGATGTTTTTTTCTTTTAAATCATATGGTTTAATGAGCGCCATTTCCACTAGAATTAAAGTAATTCACATTCCATCAAGAATTCACTTCATTATAGAAATTTTGATGGATTCTAGCAGATTCACTACTTTAGTACAAACTATTTTCAGAAAACTCACGATTTTATAAAAACTTTTTTTTCCTCATTTTACACGCGAAAAACTTGTAACAGCACTCATTTTAAAGCTTATGATGAGCACTATAAAACTCAATTTCACCGAAATGCATAAAATGTAAAACCTCGACACTAGATGGCTTTAAATACAACAATTAAATCTTAAACGAAAAAAAAACGACTTTGCTCTTTCAAATCTTGCTTAATATTTTTTCTAGAACACTTTATGTAATACCGATTTATTAAGATTTTTATTGACATTATTTCGTTCATTACATGATTTTCGTTAAAATGTATATTTTAGGATATATTTGCAAAAAAACGAAGAAAAACGTCAAAAATATATGAATCTTTAGTGGCCAGTAACTTGAAAAGTATTAGTTTTTTGAAAAACTATGAATTTTTTTCTTATGATTAGTTCTTTTATCGATTTCCGACGTTATTTTGAAAAAATGTAATTACACAATTGAGAAGGGGTGTCATCCCCCCGGGGGGTGATGGCGCAACCCGAATTGTTTTCACTTTTGAACTTGAGGGTAAGATGAACCTAATTCCAAAATTTCATTCAATTCGGAGCACAGTAAAAAAATTCAGAGGTTATACCCTTTTTTCCTCTCCGTTTATTGCACTATTATAACATTAATTATGCAACATCTCTCGCTTTGGGTGGGCATAGTTTAAGGATGGTTTTAGGTAATGCACTTGTTCGTTAAAGGTTTAAAAGAATTTTCGTCTAGTAAAAATTGCACAAACATATTAAAAATGGACAATTGTTAGTATCAAATTCTGGAATGTTCATTTTCAATGGGGATAGAGGGGGCCCAAAAGTCAGCGGGTGAAATGATTCGCCACTATTATTTCAAAAGCAAGTAAAGTAAAAAAAAATAACAATAATTTGATAGTAGAGGATAAAAGATGTGTAACCACCTATTACCATAATTTTTCACCAGATCGCCGTCAGGAGTAAAACTATTTTTGTCTTTGATAGTTCTTTTTGTTTTGAGCTCTGTTAATTAGTTTATTATACCTAAATAATTTTCTTAAGTATTACGTTAATTATTTCTTTCATAAGAATTATGGTTATTTTTTAAAATGGATTCGATAGGTTTTCTATTTTAACTATAAAATCTCCTCTAAATTGAAAATGATACATTGGATCCCATGGGTCTAAAGGGCTAGATGACAAGTTTTATGAAAATGGTAAAATAATAAATACACGTATCTATAATTAGGACTTAACTGGGAATTTTACTGAACATAGTTTTATAGTTGTTTGTTTGACATACATTATGTGTTGTAATATATAGTTTATTTGGTTTGGATAGTATATTTAATGAAAGTCAAATTGGACCTTTGTGTCTCGTCCTACCCTAGAAATACTATATCATGGAATATTATTTCTATAAATTGATATTAATTCTATCAATTATATTCATAATTATTAAATATTAATTAGGAAATATTACATCGTTGTTTCGAAAATAAACAGTTAAATTAAAGATATTTTTAGAAAATATTATCTCAGATCATCACCTCAGTAGAAATACATCTGAGCTGGAGATTCAATTTAATGAGCTGGACATTTAATTTGATTTAATACAAGCTATATATTTAAACGTGTAGCCAATGTTAAAAATGTTGCGAATAATATGAGCTGTATATGAGACGACAGATATTAGATTTACATGAATTTTCCATATTACTAAATGTGCGATGAATATGAGCTATATATGAGACGCTGATTATATGTTTTACATATGATTTTTCCATATTGCTGAATGTGGGCTATATATGATATGCTGAATATGAGTTTTACATGGTTTATTCATATTTCTGAATATAGGCTGTATATGATAGCACTAATATTGTGGGATTCAGAATATAAAATTATTCACATAAAAATCATTTAAGATTTTGCTAATAAAGAACGAATGTGGAATATGATTTTTCTTGTATTGCTCAATCGCCATGGAAAATATGGTTTCTTATTTTGTAGAATCGGTATGCAATAAATAAACATACTTCTTTGTAAAATTTGCACTTATAGATTAGGTACTCAAATATTATCTCCAGAAGTTTAGAGGGCTTATAAATTTCTCTTTGGAAATTTATGTAGTAGTCGTATGCACTTACATATGTTTGAATATTAACATAATTTAAAGATTTCTTTGAAAGTTTATGTAGTATTTCTTGATTCAGATATCGATAAATATAAAAATATATGATATAAAGATACACTATTAACAAAATATTACTATTAACAAAAGGTTTTGAAAGTCAGCTAACAAATTCAGAAAAATAACTCATTACCGAATTCAGAAAAATAACTCATTACCATAAAAATATTTTTATAGATTTAGAAATATTTTATGTAACTAGATACTTCTATATCAACCAAGTATAACGATATATTCGCTACATTTATATATTTGTTGCAAATTTACTTTCTTGTCATACACACTTTTACATACAAATTGCAAAAATTGTTTCATAATATTCTTCACGTTAATAAATAAATAACAGCAAATCGTCTAACAAAACTTTCATTGCAATATATACTTAAAGTGTTTACCCAACTTTACGGATTTGTATATTTAACTTATATAACGCGAGAATTGTATCTGTTTAATAAGAGTTGGCAAAGAGAAATATACAGAACTCCCTGAGGAAACAATACTTATAGACATATAATCAATAGTTTTTTTCTTTAACAAAATTGATCTGAACATATCATTAAAATAGTATATTATCATTATTCTGAAAGCGTTGTTGGAGAAACAGGGAATGTGATCCAATAAATGTATAGGATCATTTATGCAGCTTTTACTTTATAAGTATTTTATTTTCTATTTGAGTCGCGAGCGACCTTGTTCTATATGTAGATCTGCGATAGTTGTCGATAGTTTATAATCGTGATACGATTGTCAATCAGAGATCAAGAATTGAATACGTATTTTTATTGACAACGACTGTTCCAGGAAAGTGTTTTCAATGGAATTTAAATTTGATACATGCAGAATGATGAGATTCTTCATATCGACACATCGGATACAAGCAATACAATTTATTATAATCATGTAATATCATCCTTAATGAGTTTTTGGTCTTTCTTACTCATACGTTTGATTTTGGTAAAAAGTACTCAATATACTCGATACTAATAATGAGTTAATTAAATTGGTTATAATTTTACTACCAAAAAAATAAACGTAATATTTTTTTGTTATTTTTGTTAACAAAATATGAACAAAATTTAAAGTTACTTGTACAAATATGAAAAATTAACATCACATAATTAATATTATGTGTATTGTAGTAAAAATTCTTATAGACATGAGAAAATAAAAAAAGTAATTCTGGAAACCACTGATTCAATATCACTTTTTTATATCTACTTACAATTAATGAAGGCATTATTGAAAAGTGAAGTTAATTACAAAGTTTATTAAATATCATTTGTATTTATTTAATTTAAGTATTAAGTGCACAAAGGTCCAATTTGACTTTGCATAATTATATTGTGAAAAACCAAACCATTTATATCACAACAAATAATACATATCAAACAAACATCTATCTGACTAAGTTCAGGAAATCTCACAGCTAATGAAACATTTTAGAAATATGTTTTTTGCCGTCTTTAAAAAATTTGTTAGCTGGTTCTTTTTACCTCATAGGCAAAGTAAAATGAGAAGACCAGTAGGCAAACATGTTCAATGTCTTATTTTTAATTTTAAAGAGATTTAACAAAATAATAGCTACATTATTCAACCAATGTAAAATATAAATTTCATTGGTACATTCATTACAGAGATAATACTGTATATAAGATTGATCTAATATTTCGTTAGAAATAATAACCAGAAGAGTTATTATAATAATTATCTATTCAATTTATCTCCTTTAAAATTGCTTTTTTAACTTAATTCACTTCTTTATTCACTTTTTTTTATTGTTAACATCTTTGTCAGGGTAAATGTTCACTTGGTTCTTTTACCCTACCCATGTGCTGGTTTTTGTAGAGGCTATATGAAGAATACTGTTGAATCTAATTCGAAATTAACAATACATTTCATTAAACAATTTTTCATAAAACAATAGTCTCGTAAACTAAACGGTGCTCACAACCAAAACACCAACAATGAAAGAAAATACTTTTGTTATAAATTTTCAAACATTGCCGTTTACTTCTTGATAGCAAGGTCGTAAAATCAAAGTGATGTCTGGTTATATTTTACATTGTTTCCCTTTTTTGCCAATATTGTTGGTAAAAAGTTTTTAACTATACTTATTTTTGAGATATCGGTAGTGAACCTTTTTATGATATACACCAAAAAATCTAATAATTACAATGAATATCTATACAAGGCTAGTGATCTTACCCAGAACTAGCTGTCCTGAACTTGGAACTACCTCCACTTGAAGCGGTCATAGATTTTTTCTGATCGGGATTAGATTCCAAGGAATTTGAATGGTCGCTCCTTGATCCACCATCAAATGGAGACAGTTTCTTAATTATCGATAATGCTGATGCCCGTTTCGAAGAATCGTCTTTTGCAGGCGCATTTTCCACATCGACGATTACTGGAAACAAATTAAAATATTTCAATAGATATAATTTTAAGTATCATAGTTGATGGTTCTGACTTTTATCTTAGAAATGTATCGGCATAATTCTTATTTCTATAGTTATAGTGTTAAATTACAGAAGAGTTTAAACGATGTCATCTCAGCATCTCACTTATCCTCAATTTGAAAGACTTACAGTAAAATATAAAGATTAAATGATCGTTTATTATATCTATTTTTTTTCTCAGACCAAATAAAATTTTGTTTACAATTTTTATAGTCAACATATAACCCTATAGAAATCATATATTCATTCAACTATTGACACCAACATTTGATTATTTAACCATAAATTTTTCTTTCTTTTATGAGATCTTTTTTATGAAATTGAGTAATTATTTTTCTGTATTTAGAACGTTTGAGCATATAATATTTTAGATGTTTTTAACACCAATCCTGGAGCTATAACTAATTTGAAAATACAAAATCTTTTATACATGTATACAAATATAAAGTTTATTTTTAACATTTCTTCTTCGTGAATAATTATAATTCTGAAAAGGATATTTTTTATGTATATATGAATATAATTTTTCAGGCAATAGTAAGAATTTATTTTTTTAATTTTCCTTCCTCAATATTTTTACAAAAAATTTGAAAATACGTTTTGATTCGATTAATTAAATAGTTTCCGAAAATGTTTGTGTCAGAAAGAAGTTCGTACTGTATATAACAGCAAAAAAAATCATTAAACGGTTTCTTTAGTACCGGTCGAAACTAAAACTTTATAAGCAGGAACAATAAGATATTTTTTTAATAGAAACGCCAACTAGGTATTAGAAAATAATTACTTCTAACAAAAACTTGTGGAATTCAAGAAATGCACGCCCTAGATCAGACTGTAGTGAAAAACCGTAATTGGTAGAGGAGATATATGTAGAGGAGTGAACTGAGGAATAGAGAAATCAGTCGCTTGTTTTTCTATTGTAAATATTTTTGCAGAATCAGAAGTTATTCAACAAAATTTGAAAAAGACAATTTAACTTTTTTTATGTCGTTTCAACGAGCTTAGTTTTGTTTAATTGTTTTTTTATAATTGGCTCAAATGAATAAATTTTATTTAGAACTATGACAAATTCAAATTTACCTTTCCAAATCATACTATTTTTATAGAATTTTTAATTCTAACATGGATTATCTAAAATCATGATCATCTATATGGATTTGTATTTTTATTTAATTGTAAGATAAAAGCTGTTGTACTGTATTTATTGCAACATTTGAATCCACTTAGGGTATCATGAATATATTCTATTCTTTTTAATTCTCTCGATATTTTTTTTAAAATATGTGAGCGTGTCCAATTGCACAATTTCTAGAGGTAAAAATTTGAGTATTGAAAAATCTTATAGTCAAATTTCAGACTTTGATACTATATTGTATTACGACATTGCGTTTCAAGTATATTATTTTAGTAGTTATTCTAAATAGACTATGAAAATATATAATTACGAGTTACATTT